CATTCTATGTAGAGCTTTACATGTAGCAACCAACACCTTAATTGGATCTGGAAGCAAACTGGTAACTAATGCAGCTCACACAGTAATGTTATATATGCAGCCTTAAGGACACACAGGGCTGTGTGTAGCTTGCAAATACTCTTCAAGGGTAGTCCCATGTAGAGCATGTTGCAATAATCCAGACGAGATGAGTAGGGTGCATGGATTCACAATCCAAGTAAGGGCACAAGTGCTGCCCAACACCATTGATCTGGGTTACAGAATTTTGAAAGACTGACAATATTGCCTCTTTCTTCTTAGATCAAAGAGCATCACAGCACAATCATTTTTTTTTATTTCTTTCTAACATCTTCCTTCTTCTCTGGGCTTAATTCGTGTTTTGTTAACTGCCTCCATTGCATTCTTTTTCCAAGATCATTTCTGTGGTTCTCTAGACATGGATCTAAATCAATGCCCTTAGTTTTTTTTATAGACTCCCAAAACACTGCATAAGCTTGTCTGAATTTTTAAAGCAATTCACAAAAGTTCCTCCGTTGGTATCACCAGCCCTGCCTTTAGGCAGAAAGAGATAGTTCTCTCAGGTAATAGACACTGGAAATCAGGAAATTTAATTAAGTGATAGAGGGCATAGACATTTGTGCCACACAATTAATTCTGTAGCCAGAAACTAGTCTGATCTGTTTATGTGCATATATAGTGGTCTGTTAAATTTGAGAGTACTGGTAATTTTATATGGATTTTAAAAGAAATTCTGTTTTTATGTTACATGTTTTTCTATTAACAAATGGTAGAATGTATAAAACATGTCTAGTTTGTAGCATTTGCCACAATTAAAATATTAAAATAAATCATTTTAGAGATCTAATCTTTTTAAGTTGAAGCAGAATTCCCAAATAATAGTAGGGATCTTCAGCAGCTTTTAAATAAGTCACCCTAGTTAATGTGTGTTTGTGGGGGGGAATTCATTGGCTTAATGTTGTAAAACCTATCTTGGATGGAACTCTATTAAAACAAAATATGTAATTATTAGACATAGTTAAAAATGGTCTTAGACTCTGACATAAAAAAATAAAAAATCAAACTGACATGTAAATTTAAAGTTTTGTGGTCTTGTGATTTATCCAGCATGTGGTTAATGAGTAGTCTTTGGTAATCATGCATAAAAAAAACTATGCACCTTTGGTTTTGCTGTCTTAAGTTATTACCACTAATAGGCACCATCCACATGTCTTGATATCTATTTTCTATGGTATTTATATTTACAGTATTATTGTTTAACTTACATTCTCTCCTTTATTTTTGCAAGCAACGACCTGTTTCACTGAAGGAAATTATAGAGAAAGCAGAATAGTAGGAACTGAGAATCTGTTTTTCAGTTGCCAGGGGTATGGGAACAATATTTTATTTGCATAAATGTTTTAAGACATGGTTTGGGGGATGTTGCATACTTTTTGAAGTTTCAGTGACTAATAAATAATACTCATGCAAATAAGGATTGAATTTTGGATCCAAACTGATAAATTTCATTGGTGTATTTCATTATACAAAATAAGAATATATGCGAGACTTCTGGAGGGGGCAAGGGTGCTAGACATAATTTTTCCAGCAAATTAATATCATTAATTAATGTTGTCGGGCTAAAATATATATATCATCTTCTTTAAAAAGCAGCCTTTCCTCAATCTCTAGCATTGGAACATATATGATATTTTCAGACTACTTAGGATCCATTTTCAGTGAATAACAAATATGAGCAAATGCAAAAATGGACCTCTTTAATTGTTAGGGCATGATCCAGAAAAAGATAGTCTTGTTTAAGCTAAAGCATAGACGTGAAGGATAATGGTGATGTTAATTTTCAAATAAAATAGCAGGCATTAAAGTATTATCATCAATACTATGGAACTGCAGAGCAAGTTTTCAGCCTTAAAACTTTAAACTTTACCTTCCTAGCCAAGTTTGTATACATAGCAATGTAATGCATTAGCGTTGGGGAAAAATCATTATGAACATTCATTTTAATTTTTTCAAGACATCACCCTGAACCTGCAATAAGTACTAAGGTAGCAGTCTACTTTATTTAACTTTGATAATGATTACATTAAATAATGAATAAATTAATTGCCTCCATCTTCCATATTTCATGTTGGGACTTCAAACCCACAACAAAACCCCAAAAGGTAGCTTATAGGTATGGTATATTTGTGTGCGGTATCAGAAGAAAGCCAAATATATGTGGAAACATAGTCCTTTATTTAAAGGCGTTACAATTAAAGATGGACAACTTCCGGTAGCGTTTCCTTCGAGGATGGACCGAAGACCGCAATCCTGTGTTGCTTCAATCCATGTTGCTCCTGTTAAAGGGCTCCAAACGGGGCTAGAACCACCTTGGAGGGATGGGGAAGAAGAGGAAAACTGTCTGTTGAATCGAGGGGAGCCTCCTTGGCTAGGCAAACTCCCCCCGAAGACGGGCTGCAACAGTGGCAAAATAAAGCCACCCTGAAGAAGGAAAGCTATCCAGGACAAAGATCGTGCAGGAGCAGTGAAGAAACAGACAGTGTGGAGACCAGGAAAATCAAGCGCAATATTTGAACACAAGGTATCCTGGATTTAAAACTTTAAAGAGACTTTTTAAAAAAAGGATTGGAAAAGCGGCAACCAGAGGGAGTGAAAAAAAAATTAGGACATAAGTGAAAGTGGCTTTGAACTGTAAAAAGAATTAAATTGAAAGAGGAATCTAGAAGAAGATATCCGTGTTAATTGGATTATATTAAATTATATAATTGGCATTAAATAGGCATACTACAAGCTGAACTTGAATGTGCCCAAAAGAAAAAATATACAATATTTGGATTTATTGGTTTTTTAAAACTTAAAAGCCCTAAAAGGGAAAGGAAAGTGAAAAGAAAAGGTGGAACTTGGACATAATAGAGAGTGTTTTATCACCTAATGATAAAATACATTTTTCTGTGACTTTTTAAAAAGTGTTTGGTTCCTTAAAAATTGGAACTTGATACAAAGTAAGAGGAACCTTGAAAACAATAAGATAGAAACCCTGAAAAGTGAAACTAGAATACTATAAAGGAAGAAGAAAGAAGCCTGAACCCTGGGAATACTATGTGACTTTGAGAAAAATTTAAAACTTAACAGAAGGAACTTAACAATAAAAATATATGAACATTGGACTATTTTGACCCTGGAAAATTGAAAGAATAACAGAAGTGGATGGTTAGAAGCTGATTTACTGGATAACTGGACTGAACTTAAATATTAAAGAAAAAGGTAAAAAAAAGAAAAGAAAAAAGTAAAAGAGGTGCACAAAAATGGCAGAATACTGTTTGGAAATAAAATCGAACTTAAGAAGTATAAGGGAAATGATATGGAGAAAAGTGAAATTGTGCAGTATTGCTATACGAATGCTAGAAATGGCATCATTGGAGAACAAAGATGAACAAGGAGAACCAGAAGTGGAGGATTTGATGAAAGAAGAGGCCAGCCTCAATGAACAAACGACACAACGAACATTGAAGCAGGGGGGGGGGAGCATGGAAATTAAAAACTGAAGGTTTGTGGGGACAATTAAAGAGGTAATTGTTTGGAAAGTCAAACAAAGAAAAAGGAAACAGCATAAAAGCGAATTACAGGAGAAAGTTCAAAAGAGAGGGGGATAAAAACTGGAGTCAGAAATGGAGGGGAAAAATAAAGGACAAGAGGAATAAGGGAAAGGACCAGAAAAAAAGGGGATTTAGAAAACCAAAAAAATGAAAAGAAGATGTATGGCTAGAAGACCAAGAGATGATGGGTAGTCAGAGAATATGAAAGGAGATTCTACAAGTTAATGCATAAAGTGGTATAAAAATATAGATTGTAAAAAAAACAGAATGATTGGAACTGATGTTTTTTTTTCTATTTGATTATTTTCTAAGAATTATTGTTAAATTAACTGGAATACATGTAGAGATGGGACTATTATAAGAATGTTAATTACATTAAATTTAATTAAAATTTAATTAAAATGAACTGAGAATTTTATTAAAAAGACAAATATCAGTTTCTACAATTAGCTGAAAAGATCAATGCATTAGAAACAATAACTGTCTTAGAATAAAGAAAAGAATACCATGTGGAATCTAACCTAAAATGTACATGAGATATGTACTGCCTAGGTCAGGGGTCTCCAACCTTGGCAACTTTAAGACTTGTGGACTTCAACTCCCAAAGCTGGCTGAGGAACTCTGGGAGTTGAAGTCCACAAGTCTTAAAGTTGCCAAGGTTGGAGACCCCTGGCCTAGGTGATAACTAAAAATGATTACATTATGGTAATTTTTAATAAGAGTTAAAGGGGAGTAAACTGTATGATGTATAAGATAAAAGGGTGGTGCACTCAAATGAGCAATTAAGGGGGAAATGTTTGGAATTATTAAAATTAATATGGAATTTACTAATAATGAAATAAGAATATGTGATGAAATTGCAAATATGACAAATAAAAGTATAATGAAAATAGATTAAGAAATAAGAATTTTAAGATATTATATAAAGGAGATAAGAGCATAATTAAAGAAAAACAGAATAAGATATGAATTAAAAATGGATAAAATAAATGTGGAAAACATAAGAATACTTGTGAAAATTTATAGAAAATGGAAAATGTACTGATATGATAAGAAAATGAATATGTAAGATAGATATGTAATTATGGTCATGTTTGTATGGAAATGCAAAAACCTGGAATCACACTATTCACCAAAAGAGATGTTTGTAAAAGATAAAAATTAAAAAAAAGTTGGAAAAAAAATTAAAGATGGACAAAATTAGTTGTTGCAATGCTGTTTCAATCTGAAAGAGTTATTTCAACTTTTAAAAAACTTCATTAGAATAGTCATCTCAATTTCAAGCCAGCTATTCTGAATTAAGAATATTTTGTGCAAGTGCTTATTAAGAGTGCAGGATGCTTTATTATAATCAGATATGACAGAAACTTTCCTTTCCTGTTTCAGGGAAGAGCTTCACATTGACTATCACGGTCTTCACGAATCCTCCACAAGTAGCCACGTACCACAGAGCTATCAAGATAACAGTGGATGGACCTCGAGAACCAAGAAGTAAGTATTCAGAAAATACTGGTGCTCTCTTCAATTATTCAAGCTTTATACAGTGAAGGAAAGATAGAGATGATCCTGTTGATCCTGTCCCTCTATTTTTGCCCATTAGCAGCTTTTTTCCTCTCAATATTTGAAAGAGAATATGTACATCAAGGAAGGGTCTGTAGTTATGCAATCTATTTATATACTCTTAAAACTCTCGTCATGATAATTAACTGAGAAAAACAGTGCACCACAGGTTGACAGTTTTTGAATCAAAGTACCTTAAATGGGAAAACTTACAGAATGTGTCCAAAATCCAGGACCCATGACTCCCAAGAGAATTAAATTTGAGGAAGTTGTGGCTGCTTCAGTTCTACTAGCTACTGTTGCACTGCTGGGCTGCTGCTGCAGTAACACAATCTTCATTTTCAATGTTCTGTGACAGTTTCCCAGCTAGTCTTGCAATCCCTCACTCCCTCTCCCACCCAGCAGCAGCCATTTACCTGCCGGAAGAGAAGGGAAGGGAAAAAAATCCAATGTTCTACAATGAAACTCAATGGGGAAGCCAGCAGGAAATCAGAAGACACACCTGCTCCCACTGTTTTTTTGCCCACCCTTGATCGTAAGTAAATTGCTCTGAAACAATGAGCCTTTAGGACATGGAATGTCTAGTTCAGAAATAAAGTTTAGATCTCTAAAAATAATAAGAGCTTATATGATTTGAGAAAGCTCCATACTAAATACACACATGCTGCACACCTACTATGGACAAAGAGTTCTGACGAATGAGGGAAGTAAAGTCAGGGCATGCACTTAGTTCTCAGTCACATGATGAATTGTGTGAAGAGGGAACATAGGATGAAGATTTTGGTCACAGAATTCTGTACAGTACAATATTGTGTTCTGTCAGAAAATTAGGCTTAGTAAATGCTATACACAATTACCTGGTAGAAAGGCTCTGTGAATGTAATGGATCATATTTCTGAATAGAGATATGTGTGTTGTTAATTGAGCTATTAATCTACACAGAGAGTCAAATTATTTTCTTTTTAAGTTTTTTTTATTTTTATAACAAAAACAACAAATAAAACCATCTTTCAATTATACAGTGTGTCGGTTGGGTACATATATCTTGTGCATATAATAATATTGGTATATATTTCTTATTGAGTTTACATTCATATTGTACTATGGTCAACATTATTTATCCCCTTATATCATTATTCCATTGTCATTAAGTTTTTATTTCAATTTCAAACTATCCTTAAAGGCAAATCCCAAATTTTACTAAATTATATTCACATTAAAGCTTGTTCAAAAATAATCAATTTTATAGAGAGTCAAATTCTTGTTACTCAGTTGTGTACATAAGAATTGGAAAGCCAGCCATTTATATGCTAAGAACTGGAGCTGATGTTTTCAATTCTATGCCTGGAGGGATATGCCCAAAAGCCATGTAGCTAGGGAAAAAACTAAAGTTGATGTAAGTTATTAAAACAGGTAATAGGGATACTGTTCATGTACTTCATAGTCTTCTTTGACATATAATATTGCATTTTTTAGCAATTTTGTGTAGGTTTCCAAGGACAGTCACCAATGACTGGGGCGGGAAGCGTGTTGCATTCTTGTCACAAGGTCCTAAATGTGTCACAGTTATGGAGAAGGATATAAGGGGAGCTTATATTGGGATGGGAAGGGGGGGATCTGATAAACTTTTTACTATAAACCCTGTACTGCATGCAAAAAAAATGAACTTCCAGGATAAAAGAAACTATGCACATTTTTCAGCATTTCCTGCTCACTTTGCTTTCAGCTTTGCATAGGAAATTTAATTTTAGAAACAAAATAGCCCCGTTTGTCCTCCCCTTAAAGCTGGCAAATAGAACTGAGCTGAAGGAAGAGGAGCCAGACAACATGCAGTTGCTTTTATTTGCAGTTTATTGTCTCTCAAGCAAGTTAAGAAAACAGTAATTGTTGAGGGCAGGCAGCACTTCAAGGAGACAGATGGAATTTATTCTGCTGAAGCACAGATTTTCTCAGTCATGCCTGCCAAATTAAGAATGAGTAAATAATAAATAATATCTCAAGGGATGCATCCAGCAAATACATAAGCACAGTGTTAGAATACCCCTTCCCCCCACCCCCAGTCAATACACTGCTGAGCCTGTGCAATGTTCCCTTGTTATTACCCAAGACAATAATTAACCTCAGTGTAGAATGTTCATATTTGAATCAAAATATCTTCTTGTAAGTTGAGGTTTGTGGTTTTCTTTGCTTACGCCTCCCTCACATTTGGCAGAGGTTGCGACTGTAGCTTAAGAGAAGTCAAAATGAGGAGAGTAAAGAAGTGATTGCTCATGGAAATGACATTACAGTTAAGAACAGAAGAGCCAGTGGGTGTAATGGTTAAAATATTGCACTTTGACTGAGGAGACCATGTGCAGGTCCTTGCTTGACCATTTTGCTCATTGATGATTTTGAACCACGGATTCTTCCTTAGGCCAACTTACCTCACAGCTTTGTTGCAGTACAAAAAGAAAAACCTTATTAAAGAACAATCAATCAAATCTACACAAAAATTGAATTTTTATTCACTAAAATTGATGCATGCGATTTCACCGCTTTAAGTAGAGAGATGAGATTCATACTGTATTATCTCTTATTGTATTTTAATAGTTTTAAATCAACCTGATTTATTTTCATGCACAGCATGAGTTTCTATGCATATATGCACTTGGATTTGGAACATACACTATTACTAAGTTTATGTGATATCAAGCTCCTATTTTTAAAACTTTCAGCATCAATACATTTTCTCCAATCCTGTCCATAATTTCTATACAAATATAGAAGTTTACATATGCAGGAATATCTTGAGAATCTGCAAACTGATCTACATAAACTGTGTGCACTTCTTGGCTTCCCACTTTCCTTTCTTTCATTATATATGCAGCTCATTTTGGGAGCACCTTCTTCCTATTTACAGAATACTGTTTCTGCATTCAATTGTTATTGAGACAGTACGAGCACATTGATTGCCTCCTTGAACATTATTTTGAATGTTTGGGATAAATGTTAGCAGCAGTGCATTCTTTTTCCATTTCAGAAAATTATATATCTAACTAGATAGCATTAACTAAAGAAACATGTACTTACTTGTCTGGTAATTCTCATGCCCACAGTCTTCTTTTGTTATAAATTATCTAGTATCATTTGAAAAAATTATCTTCAAATCTAATAGATCTTCGGAATGAAATTGATAATTTGAAGTTAGTGCAGGATTTCAAAGCGCAGCTTTTTCTTAAAAAGTAGCTTGGAGATAATAAACATAATAATGAAATTATACTGATAATGTAAAATAAGAACTTTTCTACATCTGTATTAGTTCTGCGGGAAGAAGTAATGCCTGTATCACAATAGAGACATAGCTTTGCTGGGCCCAATTTGTAGTGGCAATTTCTTCTTTTCAAATGGGAAATACGTCAGCTTATATAAACAATCTTAAAAATAGTAAGTCTTTATAAAGTAGATGTATTTGTCTTCTTCCTTGACAAATTGAAGTGTGTTTCAAAATGTAATTTAAGTAGTAGAAAAAAAGTGTTTATGTAAAATTTCTGTATTAAAAGCTTTCCCATGGCATTCTTTTTCCTTAATTAAAGTGCATTTTGAAAACAGCTGAAACTTATATTCATTCAAACAGATGAATGAGAAATTGTCAGAATGATGTTATTTTCCATGGTAGTAAAATTATGCAGTTACTTTTCTCTCAATAGAGGAGAACTTTTCTATGATCAATATTTTGAAGAAAATGACTTTCTAAATCAAGAAATCTAGCCAATGTGTAATTATTCATTTGGCTATTTTACCCACAGATTCCAGTTGTAGCATTTCTCAATTACTAAAATATATTTTGTTTATATTTAATCAACACAATTCTAAACCTCTTGATCATAATCCATTATACTGGACTAGAGTGAACAAACTGTCATGAGGAAGGTATCTGGCATGTAGCATATGAGTATATATGCAAAGTCTAAACAATGTTAATTTTATAGATGTCCTTTGAGAGATAAAAATAACTTGGATTTGGATCCCAAGCTGATCATACACTGGGGAAAATGTTGTTTGTTTTGATTTATAGACCACCCTATACCAGGGACAGAATTTAGTAAAATTCACAACATTTTCATGTGTAGATTAATTTTGTCCTCTTTCAGAGGACATCCTACCTTGTTCTTTGTCTAAAAGCTAAAGCCCTTATTTCAACTTGTTCTTATCACTTATACTCTACCTTTCCAAACTATCTTTGATAATTAAAATAACAGAACAAGCGTAACAGAAAGGAGGAGAGTGAGATTTATATTTATATATATACATATACATATACATATACATATACATATACATATACATATACATATACATATACATATACATATACATA